CACACTGACACAGAGCAGAATAGGGACTGTTCCTCCTACATAGGTCACTTGGCAGATATGGATTGACACCTGTCCTCAGAGCCCCTGATACACACTGACACAGAGCAGAATAGGGACTGTTACCCTACATAGGGTCACTTGGCAGATATGGCGTGGTCGTGGGAGGAGGAGGATGACTTTCACCTCTTCCCCTGTTAGATTCCCGTTGTGCTGTGACATCACCCTTATACGCTGTGTAAAGCATACTTTTAAATTTATTTTGCAAATGCTGCATCCTTTCCGACTTGTAATTCGGTAACATTTCCGCCACTGTCTGCTTATACCGGGGGTCTAGTAGCGTGGACACCCAGCACAGGTCGTTCTCCTTCAGCCTTTTTATACGAGGGTCCCTCAACAGGCACGACAGCATGAAAGACCCCATTTGCACAAGGTTGGATGCCGAGCTACTCATTTCCAGTTCCTCCTCCTCACACAGAGCAGAATAGGGACTGTTCCCCCTACACTTGGCAGATATGGATTGACACCTGTCCTAAGTGTCCCTGATACACACTGACACAGAGCAGAATAGGGACTGTTCCTCCTACATAGGGTCACTTGGCAGATATGGATTGACACCTGTCCTCAGAGACCATGATACACACTGACACAGAGCAGAATAGAGACTGTTCCCCCTACATAGGGTCACTTGGCAGATATGGATTGACACTGTCCACAAGGACAAGCTGCAGGCTTCCTGGCAGGGCCCATACAAGGTGGTAGAGCAGGTTTGTGATACCACCTTTGTGATCGGTGCGGTCACAGGCACAGGAGGCAAGCGCATGCTCCATGTGAACATGCTCAAGCCATACCACGAGCGCACGGAAGAGGTAACCGCGATCTGTGCACCTGCCACTGAAGATTATGATAATTTGCCACTCCCAGATCTCCTAGACCTAGAGGGCCAGAGCGGAGACCTGGGAGAAGTACAGTTAGGAGAACGGTTAGACCCCCAGGAGCAAACCCAGGTCCAAAGACTAATCCAGGACAAGGGGGCCACGTTTTCCAACCTACCTGGGTACAGTCCGTTAACCACTCACAAAGTTGAAACCCTAGACCAGACCCCCCTTCGCCAAACCGCCTATCGCATACCCGAAGCAGTTAAAGAAAATATTCAGAAAGAAATTGAGGAAATGATGCAGTTAGGGGTGATAGAACACTCTGACAGCCCCTGGGCCTCCCCGGTAGTACTAGTACCGAAACAGTTTAATCCCTGTTACACCAGATATGAGTGGCAAAGTACACTGGCAGAGGTCTGCAGAGCACACGCTGAAGGCCTGACACCCGCTTTAACGACACTGACTGCTATTAGCTTACACTGAAAAACTTTTTTTCTTTGTAAAAGCACGCTATAGAGACACCAGATATGAGTGGCGAAGTACACGGGCCAAGGTCTGCAGAGCACACGCTGAAGGAGGCCTGACACCCACTTTAAGGACACTGACTGCTATTAGCTTACACTGAAAAACTTTTTTTCTTTGTAAAAGCACGCTATAGAGACACCAAATATGAGTGGCAAATTACACGGGCAGAGGTCTGCAGAGCACACGCTGAAGGAGGCCTGACACCAGCTTTAAGGACACTGACTGCTATTAGCTTACACTGAAAAACTTTTTTTCTTTGTAAAAGCACGCTATAGAGACACCAGATATGAGTGGCAAAGTACACGGGCAGAGGTCTGCAGAGCACACGCTGAAGGAGGCCTGACACCCGCTTTAAGGACACTGACTGCTATTAGCTTACACTGAAAAACTTTTTTTCTTTGTAAAAGCACGCTATAGAGACACCAGATATGAGTGGCAAAGTACACGGGCAGAGGTCTGCAGAGCACACGCTGAAGGAGGCCTGACACCCAGACGCTTGCAGACAACTAACTGCTATTCAATCTATTACAGTGAAAAAAATGTTTTTCTTTTTAAATGTCAAGCTTAAGCTATTGTGACACCAGATATGAGTCGTGGCACTGGGCAAATGGGCACAGTATCCACTGTGAGCCTGACACACCCGCTTTAAGGACACTGACTGCTATTCAATCTATAACAGTGAAAAAAGTTTTTTGTTTTTAAATGCAAGCTATTGTGACACCAGTGATTGAGGGGTGGCACTGGGCACAGTATCCACTGTGAGCCTGACACAGAAGCTGGCAACAGTGGCAGACAACTAACTGCAATTACATTACACAGAAAAAAAAAAAAAAGCAGACTGATGTTCTAGCCCTAAAAAGGGCTTTTTGGGGTGCTGTCCTTACAGCAGAGATCAGATGAGTCCTTCAGGCCTGTAGTGGACACTGTATACCCTAACCTAGCTATGCATTTCCCTATCTAATCAACAGCAGCTACACTTCCCCTCCTCTAACTAAGCATGCAGCTTGAGAATGAATCTAAAATGGATGCTGTCCAGTAGGTGGGAGGGTCTGCTAGAGAGGGTGTGCTGCTAATTGGCTGGAATGTGTCTGCTGACTGTGAGGTACAGGGTCAAAGTTTACTCAATCATGGGAACTGTTCGCCAGCGAACCGTTCGGTGCATCACTATAGGTGAGCAGGACCCCGCTCTGTGGCGAATAAATGGTTAAGTAACCATTTATTTGCTTACCTTAATCCAGCGCCGGACTCCCTTGGCACTGGTGATCTTTTCTCCTGCATCGACGTCGGCTCCCGGAGCCAAATGTGCATGTGTAGACAGAGACACGCGCATTCAAACCTGCCCTTAGTAAAGCATTACTCAACTCCTCACAGAGTTCAGCGTCAAGTAAGTGCAATTTACTCCTTGTAAATCATGGAAGAGGCCTCTAGTGGCTGTCAGGGAGACAGCCACTAGAGACTGGATTAACCCTGCAGTGCAAATACAGCAGTTTCTCTGAAACTGCTTTGTTTTAAGCTGCAGGGTTAAAACTAGGGGGACCTGGCACCCAGACCACTTCATTGAGCTGAAATGGTCTGGGTGCCTATAGTGGTCCTTTAAGTACCCTTTGTGTGATAACCATGTACATGAATTCCTTACTGTTAAATAGGTGTGAATTATGCCTCGGGAGTTTTTAGTTTCTATAAAACAATGACATATGCCAGAGGTGACTTTTCATGCATTTCTTGAATTTAAATAGATTTTTACGAGAAATTTCAGCACATAGGCTATTTGTGTGTAGGCGTGTGTTTAGCTGAAGTATTTACACTTTCAGAACTTTCAACTCCTTCAAGATGTTTTTCTCTGAGTTGGTAATTATCAACTCCTTTTAGAAACTAATTTTCCACCTAGCCCACATTTAACATACCTGCTGTCCCTCTTAGATCTAATCTGTGTGTAGCCTAAAGGAAATGTAACTTTCACAACTGTCTGTAAATCATTGTGGGCACAATACAAAAAATGCTGTAGTCATTTCTATCAGCCAGAAACATTAATACTTGAACGCCAAAAGCTGAATAATCCACTATTTAAAAGATGTGTATATTACACTTTTCTTAATGTATTTGAAAGTTTTTGCTTTTGATGGTACAAAATTGAGTGATCAGACAAATGTTTTAACTACTGAAGTATGTTGCTAAATTCCAGTTTGCCCAGATCTTCTGTGATTTTGTGGTGTAAATACTTTCATGCCGTCTTCTATTACTTTAAAAGGGTTATTTACTAAAGTAAGAATTCAAAGTGAATTCCCGAGTCAAGGTCAAAATAGTTGAACTGGAAAAATTCCTCTAAGTTGGCTATGTTTTCAATTTAGGTACCCTGGCCATAGGCTTGCGCACGGGGTGTGCCTGGGCCACCAAGGATGGAGCAGCACGGGACTATTAACTAAATGCTCCCCCCACCTCCACCCTACATAAACAGCACACACACACAGCCATCACCCTTACACATACAAACACACTAACAGCACCCTCACACTAACAGCACCCTTACACACACACAGCACACACTAACCGCACCCTCATGAGGTCTTTGGAGACTGGGGGTTTTGGATGGGTGTTTCCTGGACAATTGGGAGAAGTTTGAAGAATTCCTGAAAACAAGAATGGGAGATGGCATCACCTGCGGAGTTCTGACAGCTAGGAATGTGAACACAAATCAGAGAAACTGATATTTTCTTTATTCCATCGATGTATATTTGATAAAGACTTAATTTTCAATAGTTAAGGGGTATGGCTAAGGGGGCAGGCTTAACGTGCAGCATTCTGCATTTATTTTTCACATTAAATGCATGCATTGTTTGTATTGGGGTATAGCTTTTAACTAGTGTTATTTTTTTTGAGCAGAGAAGTGTCTCTTTAACCACTTAACGCCGTTCAGGCGTTCCATACCATCCCGCTTTTAATGGGCTTTAAAGCCGTTGCGGCGGCATGGACCGCCTAACGGCTTTCAGCTCCAGCACCCTCCCTCTACTCTCCTCTGCCATGATCCGTTTCTGGGGGACTGCCTGACAGCCCAGGCAGACTCCCGCAGCAATGTATGCTCCTGGGAGCCATGTGATCACTCTGAAAGAGCATACCAGCGAAACGCGTCATCACGCACTGTTGGCACACGCATGCAACTTTGGCCACACCCCCAGAACTATCAGATTTTCACCAACCTAATTCCACAGCCGGCAGTGGTGAGAACCAGGAAGGACTCTATCGGTGGGGTGAGAGGCAAGGAGGAAAATTGTTGACAGTTGCTGTTATTTTTAAATATGTCACAATAAAGATTGGATTTTATCATTACCAAAGTTTTGTCCATAGTGATATATCTTGAAGCCATTACAGTTAGAGCAGGCTTCTCTGCTCTACACTTGTGAGTGTTCCCTTCTGAAACAACTATATCTTTTTTTGTTTATTTTACAATATTGCCCTATGAGGTTATTTCTTCTTTTTGTGTACCTTCAGTTTGGAGCCAACTAGTACCAATGCATATTATTATGCATTAACATGTAAGTGAAGTGTGGCACTTTACATTGCTATTTGCACAAGAATTGCAGCACTTTATTGTATTTTGTTTATTGCACTTAATGATATATGCACTTTAAAAAATAATATTTGCATATATTTGCATTTTTATTAAGTATACGGTTTAAAATAATATAGTCTTAAGGACTGAGCCAATTGTACATGTGATCAAAACAAAATGTAAACAAAAACTGGAATTTGCGCTACATGTCTGTTCAACTGTAATTCACCTCTTTCATATTAGGTGCACCCACACTTACTATATCTCATTTTGTTCAGGAGAAACAGGGCTTTAATTTCACATGAACTATTCATATATAAAACATTTTTATGACTTATTTTATGAATAAAATGCACATATTTGTATTCAGTGATGTCTCACGAGTACAGCAGTACCCCACATGTACAGGTTTTATGGTGTTTTGGAAAGTTACAGGGTCAAATATAGCACGGCTAATTTTTCAGTTTATACACATTGAAATTTGACAGACTGGTTGTGTTGCCTTTGACACTGTATTGTAACCTAGAAATTAGAATTACCCCCATGATAGCATACCATTTGCAAAGGTAGACAACCCAGGGTATTCAATATGGGGTATGTCAGGTCTTTTTTAGTAGCCACTTATTCACCAACACTGGCCAAAGTTAGCATTTATATTTGTTTGTGTGTGAAAAATGCAAAAAAACTAATATGAACACTAACTTTGGCAAAGAACAGACATGGCAAGGAATACAAAATCAAATTATTTGCAGATGATATACTACTTTTAACATTATAACAACCGCATATATCTCTGCCAAACTTTCATGACACCCTCTCCCTATACAGTAGGTGTTCCCAAAACATATGCCATGGGTATAAATATCCCCACAGACAAACTAGAACACCTCCGTGGAGCCTTTAAATATAGCTGGCGGAACAACCACCTCAAATTCTTAGGAATCAACATCACCCCGACACTGGCACACCTCTACAAAACAAATTACCCAAAAATATTGAATGAGATAAAGACCTTGATAACGGGGTGGAAGGGCAAATATATCTCCTGGCCAGGCAGAACAGCTGCGATAAAAATGGTTGTCCAGCCAAAATTGCAATATTGGACACTGCCCATAAAACTACCACTTTGCTTCATTCAAGAAGCATAACAAATACTACTGAAGTTTATCTGGGACAAGAGTAGACCCTGGGTAGCAAAACATATGTTATACATGCCACGGACATGGGGAGGGATGGGAGTACCAGACCTAGACAACTACTACTGAGCGGCCATCTTAAGCCCACTAATAGCAGCGTGTCACAGAGACCGTCCACTTCCGTAGACGGTGCTGGAGAAACAACACGCCAACAATATCCCCATTACCATATTGGCAGGGTTGCCATGGCACCACAGGCCCGCAACCAGCTCAATGCTCCCTACCACGGTGCTAATCCTGAACGTCTGGGACTCCAACCGTCGTAAAATGGTCTGGAAGGGTAAAATGTCGCCTGCTACACCTTTAAAAGCACTACACCACATAATCCCTAATTTCAGCTATGCCCTGTGTCACCGATATGGGATTACACACCTACACCACCTAATCCAGGGACATGAGCTTAGAAGCTTCAACGACCTAAAGGCCTCCTACCACCTTAACGTGATGGTTTCTTTCTCTTACTTACAAATACAATCATGGTTCAATAAATAAGTCCTGACCTGGACTGGAGATGTACAGGAGCCACAGCTGACGGTGGTAGAAAAAAATCTGCTCACGCCTCTCACCCCCCAAAAAACTAATCTCCATGATTTACCAATCAATGCACACCCAGGACGACCACAAAATTCTCATATACTACAGCATGGGATAAAGAATTCACATACACCCTTAATCCTCAACCTTGGAAAGACTTTTTATTAGCACATAATTCACTCTGTAAATACGCCTCTGATATGGAGCTATCCCGCAAACTCCTGTACAGATGGTACTTGGTACCCACACGCATCAAAGCCGCGCACCCACGCACCTCTGACACCTTCTGGAGATGCCAGCAACACAAAGGCACATTGCTCATCATATGGTGGTCTTGTCCCACCCCTTCTGGGACGAAGTAGCCACCATCATTCAAGAGAGCACAAACCTGAAACATATCTTCTCCAGCTATTTCCAAAACGACTACGTAGGAAGCAGAAATTGATTTACCATATACTTATGGCCGCTCTGTCATTAGCAGACATTGGCGATCCACCACACAGCCCCAAATAACACAATGCAAACAGACACTAGAAACTACTAAGATCTATGAGCTAGCATCCAGAAGATCATCCTAGCCCAAAAATAACTGGTCGGACGCATGGGATGACTGGCACCAATACATAGAGTGCACAAACTAGCCCCCCAAGTGAGATGGCAAAAGCACATCTCACTTGGATGTAATAAGGAATGCATTAAGGAATGTACTAGCGGACTAGACATCCGGGAGCTAGACATAAGCATAGTCCAATATAGGCATCAAACACCCTCAGCAGGCAAATCCACCTGCCCCGTATATCACCTCGTACTTGGGAGTGACCTTCCTTCCCCCCACCCCCTCTTGCTCCCTCAGTTTCTGTTCTCCTTATTCCCAATTGGTACCCTAAACACAGCAATGATTCCGCCACAACCTGCATGATACAGCATGTATGATTTGGTACGCCTCCAAAGGGCACTGAACTGTCTTTTAGCACATGAGAAACTAGAACAATCACCGAAACTATGTACAGTTTTACATGACTAGTATGATGTTAAACATTGCACAAAGCGGAATGTAAGAATGTACAGGTGACACCTACAAATGTCATTGCTCCCCTTCCCTATTTCTTTCTGTATCCCCAATAAACATTCAATAAAAATTGTCAGTTAAAAAAAGAAAATGTTATGCAGAACTTGAAAAGTAACATTTCTTAATTTCTCACACTTAGATTTTATTCACATTAAATTGTGTTTCATATATAAATATGTGATATGAAATTGTACAGAAGGTGTACAATTGGCTTTGTTAAGAATAATCTTATCCCTTTATTTACTATGTCCAAATGGTTAGTTACACTTATTCTGCTTTGGCAGCTGTCTAAAGCACTAAACTAGCTAGTAGTCTTTGCCATTTGTTTTCAAACACATTTTCATCTAAAATTCGGCTAATTGTCCATTAATCTGAAAGAAGAATAAACAAATGCAAGTTAAAATGAATGAAACGAAGACTGCTTGTGGGCAATTCTTTCTCGTAATATTTTTTGTAAACTGTATGACCCCCATTTTAGCATAAGGGAGATTAAATCTTCCCGCCTTCCCCTATCCAACGTGCCAGAAGTAAGGGTATGTATACTAAACAGTGAGCAGACAGTGGCTGCACACTGTCATAAGAAAATACTAGCAGCTAAGAAGCTATTGCTGCCTAGTGACTAAGCCAATAAAGAGGCCATAAAAAAAAAACAGGGGCCTCCACCTTCCTCATGTAAAAAGACCCTCAGCCATTTCCTGTTTTGAAATGACACTACTGCAGAAGCCAAATGATTTGCTGAACAAAATATGTTAATATGCTTTTCATAATAGATTAAAATGTTTCCATTTGTTATGGGCATGTTACATTATTGAGTAATAAATCTGCCAACCTGCCCCTGAGCGAATGGATCATTTTCTTTTCCCAACACTTCTACTATTGACTACTTAAAAACAGGGGTTTGGCACGTAACACAAGTGGTGGATGCAGAATTATTATAAATGGGAGGTTATATCAGTGATGCTAGTGATGATGGACTGATGATGCAGGAGATTAGTGATCTGTGCTTGAAGGACGGTTGAAGAGGAAATTCAGAGGTTATTTTCCTGGTCCTATTCAACAGATTAGGAGGATTCACTTAATTGCACCGCCAGAGAAAGTATTGCACTCAATTCTCATAGACTGAGTAGGGAAAATTTGTGTTACAAAAGCCCTCAAAAAAGTGACGGCTTATTAGCGCACTCTTTAAAGCAGTGGTATTTAAATACATAGCCTCACTTGCCTGCTGACTACATCTACCATTGCAAAGCAAAACACTGTACACGCCTGGCAAATGGTCCAGGGTGTTGTAGGTTACTAGCAGCTGGTGGCATTTAAGAATATCTCTAGAATATCAATCTGCCTCCCCAAACACAAGTTGTGGCATGCAATCATTACCCATCTATCAGAAAACTGCATATAATTCTACACAAACATCAATTTATCTATTTAGATCTAGTCTCCAAATAATGCTTTCTCACCCTCCCCCTTTTCCCCCTGGCTGTGCGTTAAGCCTTCAGTACTCTGATCTCTTCTGACAGCTGCTGTTTGGGAGGAGTGGAGCAAAGCGAGATATAGGTCCGTGGGAAGGGATGAAGATGGGTGGGGGAAAAAATTATAGGCGGTGTCTCAGAATCCCTCACACATTTTTATTTATCATCAGGAATTGAATAATCGCCGAAAAGAGACACCGCTCTGATCCCGTTACAGAAAAAGGTGAAGAGACCAGGTATTCCAAGAGAGATATCAGAACAGATGTAAAACATTTTTCTCTAATTACGCCTGAAGAATCCTAAAATTATTGTGGCAGGCAGATTAGGGCAGTGGGGGAAATAGCTTCCACTTATGGTGAAGCTGAACATTGAAAATGTATATTATTGTTTACATATTAATAGATGACGCCACCATTTAACAGAAAATTTGCAAAGATGAAGTGCTGTTGATAGCAACAGATTTCCAGGATATTCGTTTATTGCTAAATTTGAATTCTATCCTCAGAGCTTGAGTGGACCACCTATCCTGTTCACATTTTCTTCGCAGAATGATCATTCGACTCGGACGTCTCACGCCAGGTTACTTCCGCCTACTGCAGGTATAAAGACAATAAGCTACGACACATATTTGAGATAGCAAATGACTGTTGTAAGAGTGTGGGGTGGATACGTTTTAAACATTGCTTTATCAAAAAGTCTCTGATATGTGCAACTCCACAACATTATGATCCCATAAAAACACTCAAGAACTAACACTTGATTGAAAGTATCTCATACATGTGTTCCATACCAATATAGAATAGCAAATGGGTGTATTGCTGTGTCAGGAGAATTATGAGCTACGCAGATGTATTGTGACATTTATTAGTGTCAAACCATCTTACACAGTTCTGGGAATATCTCTCAGCTGCAGGTTGCAGGAGAGCTGGCTTCTGAACCAAAGGATCGACTAGTGAATCATTTGGCACTGCTTTTGGCACTTATGGGCCTTGGACTGTCCTACTACAGTGTGCGGCAAATGGTACAAGAGTCTAGCAGTCCACCGTCACATTAATAACTGGCGATATCATTGTAAATCTAGCAAGAAAAACAGAATTTGGAAAATATCAAGCATAAATATTGGATCTAAATCGTTTTTACCCAGCAAGAGAGATGGCAATAAACTGAAAATAATCTCAATGGTGATACCCAAGGAAGACACCTTTGAGCATGATATCTAGGTATGAATAAATGCATACCGTTTTCTGGTTAAGTATCCTTGTGACAGAATGCATGGCTATATGTATGGAGTAAGAGGCAAACAAGTTAGTGAAAATAGTAAATATGTAAAAGTGATAACCGCTATCTTTAAGCACAATTGTGTCAGCAGGTGTACAAAAGTCTTTGGCTGATACTCCATACAAATTCCTCTCACTTTTCATCTTTAGATTTGACAATTCTATCAAATTAATAATTTGCCAAGTTACCCTGATGCATATATGGACATAATATTTTTAAGACTGAATATTCACACATATACATGGTGATGAGTGGTGATTGGTGAACTGATCAATGGCTTGCTCCAATAATTTCAATGTGTAACATTTCCTGTATAGCTATAAAAAAATATACAATGGTTAACATGTATGCTGTATTAATGTTTCTTTCCAATGATCTGCATGAGAAAAACAAAGATAATAGGAATTATAGGTGAACATTGAATGCTACAGTTTTTGTATCTAACACGAAGCTATATCTGGATACATTATTCATCTTATTCCTCTCATATTCCAGGCACATCCAGCAGTGCAGAGGTTAAGCTATGTGGCTATGTTTGTGCAATCATGCAGGAGAAGAAAGCAGATATAATTCGGGTTGACAAGCAGACATGTTCGGGGCTGAAGGAGACACAGTGAATCAGCAGGTTACATAACCATCAGGGCAGACAAAAAGTATTTACTCAGCAGTAGACATTAGGAAATTAAAGCTATCAATACAAGTCAATATAAAGACACATGAAAGGGTCAGTTTTTATTATTTTGCAATCCCTCTACAGGGGAGGTGGGCTGTGTATGAACACTTTATACAGCAATGGAAATATAATTTACATGAGGAACCAAATATTGTTACGTTGGGGCTGAATGAATTAAATGGGGAAACTACCATGGGCCTTTTTAAGGGTCCAGAATGTTAAGAAGCATCAGCAAAAACAAAAGTAGTAGTCCAAAACCAGTTAGAAGGAGTGGGTCGGATAATAAAGTCCACATAAAACATATTACTTCATCTCCACCTCCTGTGTTTCAACTTCAACTTTTTGGGGGGCTACGTAAGAACCCATTCCTGCTGCACGTTCAGCTTCCTCTTGGGTGTATGGCTCCTCTTTAAGCTGTTTTATTCTGAAACACACACAAAAAAAAAAGTCACATGACCTGAGTAATCAACTACTTCCACACCATAACATGGCAAAATCATATCTTTTAACAGGTACTGGTTTTGTTCACTAAGCAGCAGTCTTGCAAGTTAGGGTGGATCACGTCAAGTATGCCTGAGAACATGGTCTTACTATCAAGTAATTTTTATTCAGAAAGCATCATTTACCTGCGTTTGTGGACTTTAGTTCTGAAATGTTCCTTTAAGGTTTTTAGGTCCACAAAGTATCGCCTGGAAGAACAAACACAGAGCTTAAATGAATATACATAACAGAGTAATGTGCAAACAATTTAGTACTACAAAATCAAAGAAAGTTAAAGGCTTAACAATAGGTTTATATAGGCTAACACAGCATTATTCTATCTACTGTATCAAACAAATATTAGGATTCACTCAAGACATAATAGTGCTCCACTGTTGGCTTCAACTTTCACAAAATATTGACAAATGCATTACTGTTTATTGAATGTGACTGAATACAAATAATTGGCATTTTACTTCAGAAGCACATATGGTTTACAATGTTAATGAAAAAGCTTGTTTAAGAAGAAAAATAAAAATTATAAAAAAAAAAAAAAAACCTCTAGATTTGCCTTGCAAAGCCTTCTCAATGACCTTCAAGTCTGTGATTGGACAACCAGAAAAAAATATTTTGCAAGCTATTTCCAGATATAACCCTAATGAAAAATGCACATTTAAAAGCATGCATGTTTTCACTGGGGGCATGTCTACTAAACAGTGATTGGTAAAGTGATTTTATTTACAATGGCATTGGAGTGTCCCTTTAAAGGAATACTAAAGTATATAATAAGGAGTTTAACACAGGGCTTGCCAAATTTGATAGAATTTAGGAGCCAGCAAAAAAAGAGTTTAGGAGCCAGGTGTTTCAATGTCAAAAATACAACTCTTAAAGGGACACTGTAGTCACCAGAACCACTACAGCTTACTGTAATTGTTCTCGTGCCTATAATCTGTCCCTGCAAACTTTTCTATGCAAACCCTGCCTTCTAGAGACAGTCACTCAGACGGCCTCTGGAGTGCATCCTAGGTCAGTGCAGCACTCTCCTCTATGAGGAGATGCTTATTGGCGCAAAATTGCATTTTGCCACACATGCGCAACAGCCTCCCAATGATTTCCTATGGAAAAACATTGGATTGGCTGAGATCATAAAGATTGATGATAGCAGTCATTGAGGCAGGGCCAGCTGTGGCAAGATCAGTACAGCGTGGGAGAAATGGTGAGTAAAAACACCTTTCCCATATGATTGGAGAGGGATCAGTCATCGAAACACACCCACTCACTGTCACACACACACTCACTTATCCAACCACCTAGCCTCCTTACCTTGGTTCAGCTTTCCCTGTGGTCCAGATGGGCTTCAGTCATCTACCTGCCCAGCTCCATAGAGCGCTGTTTAGTGATGCCGGGGCAGGAATTCCGTCACATTCCGGCTCCCGGCAGAACACTGGAGGGCGCGCGAGGGAGGGAGGGAGGTTACAGCTCTCCCACGCGCCTGCCCGTCTGCCTCAAACCTCCAGGAGCCACCAGTCCGTGCGCACACCAACACACTCAATCGCCAGGCTGCCACCCACGCTCTTGAGCTGACTGACCAACCGACCACCCATACGCTCCCCCTTGCTCTTTATGAGCCTGCCGGCCACCCACCCTCAGGGGCTGAATGGGCCAGCAAATTCCAGACGCCAGGACAAAAATCCTAGTCGCCACGGTGACCTGGCGCTTGGAATTTGTCGAGCCCTGGTTTAAAATACCTTATATCCCCCAGTGAGGTCCTTTTGCTGCGGCCTCCCCTCCTTTTCTAGTTGAGATTATAAGTACTTCTGATCTCAGTTAATACAATGCTTCCCCACAGGGTAGCATTGTGGGGTTGCTTTGCATGAGTGGCAATTGCTGCGCTGCATTAATCAGCATTCACTCAAAGCATCTCTACGGAGAGTGTGTTTAGTTAGAGGTGGCATTAGGCAGCAATGTATACAATACCTTTTCTCAGAATTATTATGATATTATGCCACTGATTGACAGACACAAAGAATTAAGACGACTCTTCAAAATATTAATGTTGGTGCATAACAAATAATTTAGACGAAATTTGAAAGTGTCACTGTCACCCCCCTCTGTCTGAAAAATTTGTATTTCATAAAGATAAAATCTTTATAAAAATACTCACTTTAACTGTGTTGGAATGTAACTGAAATTCAACCCAGTCAAGAGATAAACAGAGACAAAGTAGAGACTACTTTGTCTCTGTATATTTCCTCCGCCTGACTTTCTCAATCCCTGTCACCAGTTGTGGCTTCAGGGAATTGGTTGTGTCTATGGAGGATCCCAGGGTCTCAAGGGATCCCCCATAGACCTTAAAGGGAAACTCCCACCTCTCCCTCCCACCCCCTATCCCCGGTTGTCCCTCGGCGGTGGTTTCTTCTCGCCGCCGCTCCTCCCAGTCTTTACGTCGGCCGGTGGGCGAGACTGATCCCGCATGCACGCTCCTTAGAGCTCCCCATAGGAAAGCATTGAAAATGCTTTTCAATGCTTTCCTATGGGGAACTGAGCGACACTGGAGGTCCTCACACAGGGTGAGGATGTCCAGCGATGCTCTAGCACAGGTTTTCTGAGCTATAGAGCAGGAAGTGCCCTCTAGTGGCTATCTAATAGACAGCCACTAGAGGTGTAGTTAACCCTGCAAGGTAATTATTGCAGTTTATAAAAAACTGCAATAATTACACGTGCAGGGTTAAGGGTCTTGGGAGTTGGCACCCAGACCACTCCAATGGGCAGAAGTGGTCTGGGTGCCTGGAGTGTCCCTTTAATGCTGTAATCTTGCGCATGCATTAAAGATTGTGGCGCCCGTGTGGGACAGGTTCGGGCAGTAATCTCACCTTTCCCCTTCCCACCCTCCATGGCCACCAGACCACGATCGACAATATCAAAGTCGGGGTTACTTTGCAAATTCGGTGACAGTGCTGCTTTAAACTCGTGTCACATTTTTACCTTGGCTGAGCGTAAATTTTGAGAATGATATTGTTTGCTGCTTTATTTAACCATAACTGATGATGATTTGCAAATGCCATAGTTGACAACTTTATCAGTTAGTTCAACCAAACATGCAAACAGGACTGCACTACCCTGAACAAGTGCACAGCTGTGGCTACTGAATACAAGATACAAAATTAAGCAAAAACAGTAGCAATTCAATTCAACTTCAATCTAGCTTTAAAACACACACAGTTTCTAAAACCACATGATTTTTTTTATACAGGAGTAAAACCCCCAGCCTTTTCACCCTCACCAAAACAGATGTCTTAAGGCTCTTGTATACACTTTGCACAGTAATTGGAAGTGTATGACAGTCAATTAACAACTTAGGAGACATGATTAAATATATGTGGACAGCAATAAGAAAACGTAAGACAAAGCCATTTTACAAGTGAAACATGCAGCCAGCAGTGTGAAAACCATCAACTTTCTGATCTGGTGTGTAAGTGATCGGTCATGAAGACGTTCAGGGATTAAACAACATTTGGAGGCATCAAAGCAAATGATATATATCTGTGATAAGACACTGAGTGTGAACCAATATATATTTAATGCAAGTCTTTATTTATACATTAGTAAATGTCATTTGTACACATCTACTGCCTCTGTGTTGTTATTGGTGGTGAGTGATTCTAAGAAGCTAGGATTTTGCATTGTGTATTGAGGATTACTTTGTCTCACTTGATCTTATACTAACAAACTATAGAAGAAGCTCTTTGAGCTATGAGTGGTACAGACCTAACAACCCAAACTCTCCAGACCACATATCTGACTATTTAATGTAGTTTCCAGAAAACGTGCAATGTCAATGTAAAGGACTAAAAGGGAGTCAAGTCAGAGACACTAGGTTCCAGGACAGAGAGGTGTGGGTTTCTACTTTAAATTGTATTTTTCAGATTTCAGTAACACATGTTATGTATAGTAAACATAATAAATTCTATAAAGTAACAGTTCCTCTTTAATGATTTACGGTTAGGAAATGGCCACTTTTAACCCCTTAAGGACACATGACATGTGTGACATGTCATGATTCCCTTTTATTCCAGAAGTTTGGTCCTAAAGGGATGCTTAGATCCTTCCTACTTCAATGTTTACTGTAAATTATAACTCCCTCAGCCTTTTTTGCTGGGAATCAGAAGACTTTGTTTGTAGCATCTTGAAAGCAGGTATCTCCTTTCCCTAAGTATCCTTAATCTTAAACCTCCTGTAATCACATGGCATCACATAAGGTTATTAATGTATTTAGATTTTTTTTTATCATTTAAGACCTTCAGAACCCCATTTTGCTACATTACTCTATGTAGCATTTTCCATTTAATACTTTATGGACTGTTTTTTTCCTTTTATTTAACCAAATTGACGTACACACTGAAATGCATTAGAAAACCTATTTGGTTTTCTGCATTTTATTTGGAGATCTGTCCTGAAAACTTTTGAACAGGACCTCCTTTATCTACTTATCGTTATCAATGCTTAGGAAATAAATTGATCCTCTAGTATTTTATTTTTGATCTTTATGATCTATTTACCATTTATCAATTTAAGCATATATTTATAACACTGTATTTTTGTTAATCATTTTTGACACATCATATAAATTGTTTTAACTTGATTTAGTATTAAAAGTTATATTTTAACCTGAGGGCACTCACTTTTTCTCTTTCTTTGCCTTTACTACTGTCGTAGTTCATAAAGGGTTAACCCCTATAAGAGTGCATCCTTTTTGCTTCCTATTTCCTCTGTTTTTTATAGCCAATCAATATAGTACAATACAGTCAGACACTTCCAACTAAGGCACACAAACCCTCCCCTCTGCCTGTGATATAATTACTACACACAATGGGATAACTTAATTATCACAGGCAGAAAATATACAATTTTACCCTAAAACACAGAAACACCCCAAAACAACAATATATCCCCATAAATAATCCTTGGATAGCTCTGATCTGGGCGAACAACATATCCAAAAATCACCGAGATCAGAGCAGGGGTTCCCGAATTCCATGGAAGTCATATTTTACAGACCGCAAGCATGGCTTTCATGCCCAAAAGAGTTCCATAGATTTAGGCTGTGCGGTCGGTCTATTTCACATTTCGCAAATCCCAATGTTAACGCGGCGTTTAAATATTTGAACGCACCTCGATTTCAGTCGAAGTGTTTAAGTCCCAGAGAAGGTAAGGTTCAGCGGTGTTCATGCCGTCGAGTGTCCGATTTGAGTTCCATGAACTCAACGGCAAAACACAGCTGACCGCATTCGACTAAACAAGATGGCCACCGCCACGTGTTTTGACTATATGAACGGCGACCACCAAGCCGTTCGTAAATTAGCTTGTGCTTAACCACAGATTTTGGTAAGTAAATTGGCTGCACACTCCACTTGTGTGGGATCCGGCTGTTCGAAGTTCCACTTCGACCAATTCGACAGTTTAAAAAGGGCATTGTGCCAAGTCTCAATATGCCCCAATAATGTTCTTAAAGGGCAATACACCCCAGGGCCATAGTCATAAGGCAGGAGGCTGGCAATCAGGCTTCTCCAAAAGCGAGTGGCAAAGGGCAGTTTGTCACAATCGGTCTGGCCGATATTCAGTATTTTTGGCAATATCGGTATCGGCCTATAGAGATACCGATATTGCTGATAATACAGACCAGGACCGCCAGGCCCATGACAAGATGACAAGCCCGGCGGTCCTGGAGGGCCTGCAGCAAGCTCTTACCTTCCCAGCAGCTCCCTTCAGCTCCCCTGTCTAACTCAAGCGGCCGTCAGAGCGTTGCCATGGGTTACCATGGCAACGCTCCGCGCAGCACACTGGCCGTGAGATTTAGACGGGAGCTGAAAGGAAGGTGAGTAAGAGTTTGCTGCAGGCCCCCACTGCACAGTCCATGCCACCGTACCACCAGGGAATGCCATATCCCCCCTCCCTGGCCAAGTAAGAAACAGGGAGGGGGGGGGGGACTAAAAAAAAAAAATTAAATAAAAATGCCCCCCCATTTTACTCACATTATATACCCACACACTCTGCATTCATTATACACACACACACACACACTACACAAGCACACACACTCTGCATTCATTATATACACACTACATTCACTATACACACTACACAAACACACACGGCATTTATTATAAACAAACACACACACACCCACACCGCATTCACTATATACACACACACACACACACTCACTGCATTCACTATACACCCACACTACACAAACACTCACTGCATTCACTATACACCCACTGCATTCACTATACACACACACACACTACACAAACAGTCACTGCATTCACTATACACACACTACACAAACAGTCACTGCATTCACTATACACACACTACACAAACAGTCACTGCATTCACTATACACACACTACACAAACACACACTGCATTCACTATACACACACTACACAAACACACACTACATTAATTATAAACACACTACACAAACACACACTGCATCCACTGCACAAACCCACATTGCATTCACTAATCAAATACACACACATATGTTCTTGAAAACCAAAAAACACTCTCACTGGCATGTATATTTTGTGCATTTACCTTAAAAAAAAAAAAAAAAGATTTGCAAAAAAATAAACAACAAACATGTTCAGTTAACAGTGGATTTGTGTAGAAATAGTTTATTTTTTCAAAATGGTAAATGTACAAAATATCGTTATCGGCCTGAAAGTTCACAGATTATCGTTATCGGCTCTAAAAAAAAAAATCAAGATCGGTCGATCCCTACTAAAAATAGCTTACCACTATGTTTTGACACTATGACAGTCAAAAACGAATCAAACGGGGCCGCCAGACGAAATACAACTATTTCCCACAGGCAACAAATGGTGCCCAGTTCTATTACTCAACCATTTTCAGCTGACCTTATTGGGTCAGAAAAAAAGCGCTCCTCTGCTGAGCTTACACGGTAAACCACTGACAACATCTAAACTCATGGTATACATTTCAAAAATAGGTTGCGATCCATCAGCCTTCACAGGCAGCACTACGGAATCTGTTGGCGCTATATAAATCGCAATAATAATTAATTTCGCATAGGGGCAGCAACAGTGGCCTCTAGTCAAAACGTACCAGTGCACATAATCAAAAGACTGGGATGATGGAAGTCGTCAGCATACAACCGCTTCATCCCAAAACCAGAAGAAGAACTTAGACTAGCATTCAAAGAGTTAGCCTAGTAATGATAATAGGTCATGTCTTCACGTTTGTTAGTAACGATTAAGTACGTATTAAAGTTTGCATGGAAATCTCTTTTTGCCCTCTATTCACAGGCCTGCCCGAACGTCAGTTTCAACACACCACAACCGACTTTAGTGTATTTGAGGTTAACGCTTACTCAGCTTTTTTCCCTGACCACAAATGGGAAGACTGAGCCTGGAGTTGTGGGAAGGGTTGATCTGGCCTATATAAGCCAAAACCTACCTCCATACCGGGCTGCCATTGATTGGTTACCCCACACACCACTCCCTTTAAATACAAATTCCATCTTGGTGGGCCCTATTTATTTACAGGCCTGCCCGAACGTTGGGTATATACTTATACACACAAATTATATATATATTAGTTAATACAATGTTAAACAAAAATCTGCACACCAGTCAAGCCATAAGACTTGCTCTTCCCACTGAAATCACAAATCTGCAGTGATTTTACTACCGCAAAGGATTCTGGGTGGACATATGCAAATTAATTTAACAAAGAATCACATTTTTGCTTGATTCCATTTTAAACATAGAGATATATATATATATATATATATATATATACATACACATACACACACACACACACACATATATATATATATACACATACACACACACACACACACAAATAAATAAATACATATAGCTCACTGGAGGAAAGATCTAAGTATGCAATTTATTTCACATATCGCCTGCATACTATGATGCCCTAAATGTTCAACATTTAATTCTAGTTTCTGGACAAACAGCTGACATTTTAAATACTCCTCCCATACTCTTACACAGACTAACAGAACTTGTTTTACATGTCCAGCATGCTGCCTGCACAGAGGTCAGTGTCGAGGCAGCTTACAGCCAACCTCGATGCACATACAGAAGATAATGATAAAGCTTAGAGAAACATGAGTCAGAAGCAACAGATAGGATTGCAAGTTACATGCATAATAAAACTAGCACCTGGTCTACAGCCCTATCTGTTAATAACGCTCAGTCATATGATAACCTTTGCTCTGAAAGTTGAAGTCCTCCGCATGCTGCACCTAATAAACAAGTAGTATTTCACGAAAGTAACAGTGTTTAAAGAAAAATGCATCAATTAACAATTATTATTTGTTTTTAAACCAGCAAGCAAAACACTTTTAAAACAAATATACAAACCAAAACTTTAAAAAGTATGTAATACAGTTTATGAACTTAGTATAAGCTTAGTTAAATTGCATTGTTGGTCACGTTTCTCAGCTAGCAGACTTTAGTCACCCCAGCCCCATCTCAGTTTCAGACCGGTCCACAAAATATGGAAACAGGGTATTATTGTGCAGCAGCAGAAGAAAGAAACTCAACACGTGAGCCTGCTTTGCATGAATCACATTGATCAGACTATTTCTCTTCTACCTTTCAAGGTGCTGCATGGTGAAGAGATCTTCCAACTTCACATGTGTAAATCTGTCAGGGGGGGCGGGGCTAGCACGCAGACCGAGACAGACGCCATTTGCTGGAGCTCCTGCAAACAAACCTCAAATCTGCCCGATATCATCGGAACACGAGCCACTCCAGCCTCCAAAAGCATAAAATCGGACTCTGCTACCCAAGCTTTACGCGTCCATGCCCTTCTTACAGCCGCAAAAACAGCCTAAGCGGCGACGGAAAACCGAGGCCTACCACCCTCTCCAAATCCCCAGCCTCGCGTCACTCTTTGGCGGAGACCCTGCGGAACGGCCGAGGGCGTCCCCATCACAAACATCGCCCACCACACTCACCATGGGCCGTAAATCACAGAGACCCACCACAGGGTCGGATACCAGGGACATTGGGGCGCTACTCCAGAAGTCCAAACACACTCAGGCTGTAGACCAACCGGACACAGAACCGGAACCGGACCGCCACGAGATGGAGGTACCACATCACCCCCAGGTGGTAAGACCCGCACAAGCGGACTCTCTGGATGAATCAGCCCCAACAACTAGGGGAGACCTGAAGGTTTTATTAGCTGATATCCACAAGCTCCTGGCTGCAGATTTAGCTGTATTTACAACACAGCTACAGGCCGTAACAGAGAGAGTCAAGGCCACAGAGGGGGCTATAGCAGATACACAATCTGCCATGCAAACCATGCAGGACTCTATCCACCAATTACAAACGCACCAGACTACCCTAAACGCAAAACTCATAATACTAGAGGATAGACAACGCCGCGCAAACATCAAAATAAGGGGTATCCCTACGGCAATATCCGCGGAGGAACTTCCCCACTACACCCGACGCCTCTTGACATCTATATTACCTCCCACGCTGGCCCGCAAAATCACAGTGGACAGTTTATATCGCATCCCCAATACCACCAACACTAATACCAACCTGAACCGGGATGTCATCCTGCGCTTCCACTCAGTACAAGACAAAATACATGTCATGTCAGCCGTGAAGGGCAAAACCCCTCTTTTATTTGAGAATGACACCTTGAACTTCTTCCAAGACCTCACTAAAGCAACACTGCTATGGAGGAAAACCTACGCACCGGTAACATCCCAACTACGCACGGCAGGACTGCCATACAGATGGGGAACCGACAACTCCTTAACGGTCACCGCAGAAGGAACTACGCATGTCCTCCACACCATGGCCGACGCAGCCTCTTTTTTGAGAAAATTGGGACTACCCATTCCAACCGATAATCATACGCTTCCTGAGAGTGCCAGAGACCCGGCCACCATCATCCCCTTTGTCCCACGCACCAGACGGACACCACCACCCGTACAGTGACAGCCCAAACCGGCACCTACGGCTACACAATCTAGCCCACATTGGAAGGCTCTGGCCTCGACCCACCTGGAGAGGACATTGATATACGAGGGAAACCTCGTACTCGGACGCAACGCAGTTATTAGAATTTAATTTTATTTTTATTTTTTTTATATTTTTATATTTTATATGTATTTTTCTTTTTCTTTATGTTTTCACACCCCTATCCTGACTATAAGCAAACCACACTCCAACCGACACACTGAACACAACACCAGAGAGTCAATGGGGCCACACCCCTCCTCCCCCCCCCCCCGCAACCCCCTGGGTTAGGGGTACCACGCATATCAGCTACCGCTGAAACAGCCCATGCACACAGGCCACACTGACAAACCACAACCCAAACTGGGAACCAACACCATCACATAAGCTGACACAGGTTACCTACCCAAACTCCATGAATCACTCACACGACAATGTTTCTCTGTGTTTCACGACTCCTATATATTTGTCTACAGAATGTCTAACATGTTGACCTTGTATATAATTGTTAAACGTTGAAAAAAAAAAAAAAAAAAATGTGCATACTGCTAGACATACCTAAGCTATATTGGACATGCATAATTTAAGAATGTCTTTGTCCTCTTGATATTTCTTATGCACAACTAAAATAAAGAATTAAAAAAAAAATCTGTCAGGCATCCCAAATACACTTTACAAGTATTACTAGGGATAGGTCATTGATTGGTTAAATTAGTGCACCCCTTTCTGAACAAAACAGTTGTCTCAATGTTATGCATGTCCTTTTAATTTCCTGCTAAAAGGTTTAAGCATGGACAGCAATCATGGAAAAGAATATGTAAAAAAAATTTACAGAAAATTGTCCCCTCTTAAAATGCTAATTTCTAATCAGGGCAATAATCCCACACAGAAGACAAGTGTCAATATAACGCAAATATACATTTATCAAGCTAAAAAACTGTTATTTTGAGTGCATTATTAAAGGGAAAATCCAGTGCCAGGAAAACCCCTTCAGCAACTTACCAGAGGCAGCGACGATGTCCCACGGCGCTGCTTCTTCCTCCGCTGCCGCTCCTCCCGGTGATTGCGTCGGCCGGTGGGCGAGACTGATCCCGCCGACCGGCCGGGGAGACCTAATGCGCATGCGCGGCAATGCTTTCCTATGGGGAATTGAGCAACACTGGAGGTCCTCACACAGCGTGAGGATGTCCAGCGACACACTAGCACAGGTTTCCTGTGCTAGAAACCAGAAAGTGCCCTCTAGTGGCTGTCTAGTAGACAGCCACTAGAGGTGGAGTTAACCCTGCAAGGTAATTATTGCAGTTTATAGAAAACTGCAATAATTACACTTGCAGGGTTAAGAGTAGTGGGAGTTGGCACCCAGACCAATGGGCAGAAGTGGTCTGGGTGCCTGGAGTGTCTCTTTAAGTACTACAGCACAATTCAGAATGTTTCATCAACAGATTATGTCGTATTATACATATAATACCAGAATAATACATTTTCTTTTGTGCCTCCAGCCAGTCACCATCCAGGTTAAATAAAACTGATGTTGAATAAAAACTTCTACATTATCAATGTGGACGAGGAGGGGCGGTCTTTGGAGAGCATTTTTTTTATTTTTTCTTCTTCAAACTGCTTCAAAACTGTTTGACCGATTATTATTATTGCCATTTATATAGCGCCAACAGATCCGTTGCGCTTTCCAATATTATAAGTGGGAAAGGGGTTTAACTATAAATAGGATGATTACAAGAAAACTTACAGGAACGATAGTTTGAAGAGGACCCTGCTCAAACGGGCTTACAGTCTATATGACCTAACATATTACTTTTTTACCATCCTATCTAGTTTTGGTTATGAAATGTCCTGTATTTGTTAGAATGCAATTTATTTTTAAAGTTCATTATCACGCTATTTATATTATTCTGTGAAAAGTGTTGTGTTAATATTAGATGCAACACATTTATACAAAAACAGCGAGGTAGCCTCAACAAACTTTTTGATTACACGGCAATGTATTTAACTCCTTAAGGAGTGACATGTCATGATTCCCTTTTATTACAGAAGTTTGGTCCTTAAAGGACCACTATAGTGCCAGGAAAACATACTTGTTTTCCTGGCACTATAGTGCCCTGAGGGTGCCCCCACCTGCCGGGCTCTGGGGAGAGGAAAGGGTTAAATCTGACCTTTTTTCCAGCGCCGGGCAGGAAGCTCTCCCCCTCCTCTCCACCACCGATCCTCTTCTTTGGCTGGATGCGCATGCGTGGCAGGAGCTCCGCGCGCAGCCAGTCTCATAGGAAAGCATTCATAATGCTTTCCTATGGACGCTGGCGTCTTCTCACTGTGATTTTCAGTGAGAAGCACGCAAACGCCTCTAGCGGCTGTCAACGAGACAGCCACTAGAGGCTGGATTAACCCATTTATAAACATTTCTCTGAAACTGCTATGTTTATAAAAAAAAAAAAAAAAAAGGGTTAACCCTTAAGCTGAAGTGGTCTGGGTGCCTAGAGTGGTCCTTTAAGGGGTTAGGCAACAATGAAATACTCATTTTGACTGTGTTGACATTTCACCCCCGTCAAAAGATATACGATCTCTATATCACTTCCTATGCCTGACACTTCTAGACAGTCTATGGAGCTACTGATGGCTGTCACCGGTGATGGCTGCAGGGAATTGTCTCTGTCTATGGATGATTCCATGGTTTTGCAAAATCCTCCATAGACCTCAATGCTGTACTCTTGTGCATGCGTGAGAGTACACCAGTGACATTGGCTCCTAGCGCTGGTCAGTAGCAATAGAGGACCTGCCGGAGTAAGATAGCTGAGCCCAAGAGGTACAGGTACAAGTAAGTAGAACTCACTGTTACCAGGGCCCCCAACCTTGACCAATGGACCCCCAGTGGCAATGTCACTATCTGGGGTCTTTACGAATTCTACAAATTCCACAGACGGTGACAGTGCTCCTTGAAAGGCAGCACTCTAAGCACATAAGTCTCCACACCTTTCCATGATAAGTATGGCAGTCAAACCATTCTATTACAGTTTGACAAATTATCTGGGTCCTTAATGACATCTGCAGACACAGTGCCTGCTTCCAGTCTTCTCCTGTTGTAGGATGCGGTTAGTTCTTCAGAGCTTTTATAAAGAGCTAAACAGCACCATGCTGCTAAAATGCTGTAATGAATTCATTCAATGGAAGCACTACACAGCAAAATGTTGCAGGTTAGTATATTCTTTTTTATTTATTGCAGTACATTATTATGGGCCATGTAATACTCACGCGCAGTGTAGACAGTAATGCTGAGCATTCCCTGGAAGTTGATAGTCCAGTTCTTGATTCAGTAGGCGTTCGGCATTCTCTGGACGTAGGTCATGGTGTATCTGATCTATATCCTTCACCCGACGCTTTGTTTTCCAGAGCTTAGAGATATTTTTCTTCTTGTCACTCTTGTGATTCCCAACCTGCTTGGAACGTGTCATGTCTAAAAGAGGAGAAAGGATGAAAAGTCAGATGGAATGTGAACACTGACGTTAAACCCCTCCACGTTCCAAGCAGTAAAAGTGCTTTGTTTTCTGATGCTGTAGTATTTGCAGGACTGACATTCAGTGACCACACGCTTCGCATGTAGAGAAAGAACGCTACCCATATTCAGTGGTATATTGCATCTCTATGAAGAGATGCTGATTGGAGCAGCAGGTCCCCAAATACTGTATGGCAAATCATTAGTGGACCTACTAACATTATTAGTAATGAAGATCTTAGTCAGGGGCAGAGTTATATCCTTGACAAGGGATGAAAGAGAAGTAAAACTATAACCCTATCAGTGGCAAGTGAAGTCTATGCAGAATGAATCAGGAGGCCCTGCTTTTGGTTAGATTAAATGGTAGCGTGATGTTCCCTACTTGTTCAAAAACATTTATAAAAAGGTGCAGATTTTTCATTAAAATCAGTACTTTTATGAACTGTAACAACAAGGGTATGCAGCTAAACTGCTTTAACTTGGAGAACCATTCTTAAATGTTATACTCAAAGTGTTTATATTGAGGCTTAAACAAAGTCATATGACATAAGTTCTCCCAGGGTGTTAAGAAAGTAGAGTAGGCCTGATACAGTAATGTTGAACCTTTGGCACGCCGAGCACACTCTGTGTCATAGGTCACGGGGGGGGGGAGACTGGTGCCGGTTAGCAGCAATGCAGAGTAGGCACCTGCCTGCCCAAAACGGCAGGCACTTACTCTGCTTTCGTATCGGGAGGACCTGGAGGCAGGGGAAGGGATCTGGAAAGCAAGGAGTGTGTATGTATAATGCAGAGTGTATGTATATGGAGTAAAGATTTTATGTATAGAATAGGATTAAAAAAAACAAAAACAAAAAAAAAACACATTTGCTACCTACAGCACCCCTACCCACCCACACACACACACACATACATACACTGCACCCCTCAATGCAGTGTGTGTGTGTGTGTGTGTGTGTGTGTGTGTATTCAGCAGTCTTTGTGTGTGTATGCATTGGCAGTCTGTTTGTACTCTGCATTCTGTCTGTGTGTACAGCAGTCTGTCTGTATGTGTATTTAGCGGACTGTGTGTATGCGTGTGTGTATTCAGCAGTCTGTGACTGTAAGGAAAGAAAAATACCTTTTCAAATGGAGGCAAGGGTGGCCACCATAGTGTCACGAATACATGTTTTGACACCATCATGTTCCTTTAAACATCTGTACAGACTCTAATAAAACCACCTCTTCAGACAGAAAGTACCACATCCTATTGTTCTTACTGTAAAAAAGCCATTCCTTTGCATCAGCCTAAATCTTAATTTTCTTCAAGTCTAAATGCATGACTCTTTGTCCTATGTATAGTGCAGTTTATGAATACATTTCTAGACAATGGTTTGTATAGGGCCCCAAATATATTTGTATAATGCCATGGCATCCCCTCTGGACCACCTTTTTTCCAAGCTAAATTGATTTAAATTTGTTTACCTTTCTACATAACTAAAATGTTCAATTCCTTTTATTAAAATTTTGTAGCGTGCCTCTGCACTTTTTCTAGTGCCATAATAATCTTCTTTAGAAAAAGCAAGGTGTGGTCTTACCATTGTTTTATAAAGAGTCAAAATTATATTTTCATTCTGAGAATGAATGCTTTTTTTTTTTTTTTTTTTTTAAATACACATGACAATACCTTACAGGCCTTAGCAACTGCTGGTTGACATTGCACATTTTTGCCAAGTGTGTTGTCTACAACAATTCCCAAATCCTTCTTGTGTACAGTTATGCCTAATTCACTACTGTTTAGGGTAGGGCTTGACAAATTTGCTTGGAATCTAAGACACAGCTAAAAAAGAGTTAGGAGCCAGGATTTTTTTTTAAACTAGCAAAGCTTTATTTTCATCAACAAAAATATAAATTCTTAAAGGGACACTATAGTCACAAGAACCATTACAGCTTAAAGAGACTCCAGTGCCAGTAAAACAATCTGTTTTGCTGGGACTGCAGGTGCCCTCTTCCTCTCACCTCCCAATCCCCGGTTGCTGAAGGGGTGAAAACCTCGGGTTTCGGGTAGGGATCGACCGATATTGATTTTTTAGAGCCGATACCGATAATCTGTTAACTTTCAGGCCGATAACTTGCCGATATTCTGTACATTTACCATTTTGAAAAAATAAACTATTTCTAAAAGTTAAATGCACAAAATATAAAAGCCACATGCACTGGATGCAGTGTGTTTAGACAGTAGAGCTGTGTATATTTGTGTAGTGTATATATAATTAATGCAGGGTGTGTTTGTGTAGAGTGTAGTGTGTATATAATGAATGCAGAGGGTGTGTTTGTGTAGTGTAAAGTGAACGCAGTGTGTGTATAGTGAACGTAGTGTGTTTGTATAGTGTGTGTATATAATGAATACAGTGTGTATATATGATGCAGTGTTTGTAGTATGTGTGTGTGTATATATGATGCAGTGTTTGTAGTATGTGTGTGTATATATGACGCAGTGTTTGTAGTATGTGTTTGTATATATGACGCAGTGTTTGTAGTATGTGTTTGTATATATGACGCAGTGTTTGTAGTATGTGTTTGTATATATGACGCAGTGTTTGTAGTATGTGTTTGTATATATGACGCAGTGTTTGTAGTATGTGTTTGTATATATGACGCAGTGTGTGTAGTGTGTGCATTAAACACACACACACTGCATTATATAGACACACTACACTATATACACACTGCGTTATATACAGAGTGTGTAGAGTGTTTTCCTGGCACTGGCGTTTCCCTTTAACTCATGAATGGCAGAGAATTGCACATTTAGACAGCAGGGGCATGCACTATACACCAAAACCACTCCATTAAACCAAAATTTGTTTTGGTGCTTATATCGGCCCTTTTAAAAAAAGTTCAGTGAAATAAACATTACAGGCAACAATTAAACAATTCTAAAGGTCATCATAATGAATTGGAAACAAACTAAATTTAGCAAAAATAAGTGCAGGAATAATGTAAAACTCTCAGCTTGGCTATTTTAGTCTAAAGTTTGCAATTTGATCCAAGGTCAAATAAATATGCTTTTTCACCTAATTAAATGCACAAGGAATAGCCCTTGAACCCAAATTGTGGCACAAACCCTGATGCCAAGAACCACTGATATAAATAGATACAATCACACAATTTTATATATCAGTACCTGTGATTTCTGTTGTGCTAAGCTCACATGTATATAGTATAGTAGTGTTATGGACTCAATTTGGTATTTTATTATATTTATTATTAATAAGGAATTGATGTTTGATTATTTAACAGGGAAATAAAATACGAGGTTACCGTGTTTGTCTGCAGTATAAACAAAGCACTTTTTCTCGTAAATCAAAAAACCTCTTCCAAATATGTTCTCAACAATCATATATATAAACAGTTTCGTGTAGCTTATAAAAACCAAGCCTAAAATTCGAACCGCAGTTGTATACACAAGAACCACCCATATTCGAATGCCAAACCAACTGGACACTGTGGCACTACAAATGTAAACATTTTTATTCAATTCAGTATGGAAGAATTACGAACAGTTGTACACGTTTCACACACTTACCGAAATGGATTTCTACACCATGCTATACACAGGAAATAAAGACAGGCAGTGACGCAACGGACAAACTAGTTCTAAATGCCACCATAGAGTTAAAGCTGCCATACAGTCGAACGTGATATTTACCATGGAAAGAAGGGTGTGCGTGTCCAGTTCGATTCTAGGAACAAACAGCGACATCTAACGGAACTACGCAGTATTTGCGGTGGCTTGGAAGCCCTTAGTATACGTTTTTTTTGTTTTTAAACTTCATAGTAAGTAGACGTATAAAGTTTTACTTTGTACCCCGAGTAGCTTCTCACGAGTGGGTGCGTCACCAAGCCACTGTTTGAAAATTATTTTATTTACAGATGTTTTCAATTATTTAGGAAAGTACCTGACATACAAACATTGAAATGAATGAAACTGCAAATCACTTACCTCCCAAGATTTCAAATGGATAAAGAGGGCATTTTAATTTTACGATGTGGGTGGAGCGTGCCCAGGGTTAGGTGTACGCTGGGAAATTTCAGTGCCTTACTAACAAAAATGTAATTTATTACAAGAACAATATATCGCATTTACACAGGCTGAATTCTAAACACATTCATTGTAGTTGAAAGACACATTATTGTATTATAGCTGTGTAGCTCTGATACACTAACAATATAGAGCTCCTAGAAAAGAGGGACATTAGGACAGAAAAGGGGAATAGAGGGTTTGGGGCCCAAAATTAGGACTGTCCCTTTTAAATAGGGACACTTAACCCCTTAAGGACCAAACTTCTGGAATAAAATGACATGTCACGTGTCCTTAAGGGGTTAAAGGTGCACTCCAAATCCATAGAGCACTTCCAGTTGCTGAATTGTTATATGGATGTGGAGTATCCCTTTAAGTGCCAATTTCATTGTAAAATTAGCACTTTTATATTTGAAAATAGAAATGCCAACCCCAGCTTCACTTCCTACTTCCGTTAGCTCTATTGAGATGGGGCAGTAGCATACTACGGGAGGGGGCAGCCCTGGGTGCCACTCACTAGGGGGTGCCATAATCAGAGCAGCCTTAGGATGTGTGAGCTGTGCGGCAGGGACAGGATGCCATGGTTGCCGCACAGCTCACATAGCCGCAGAACTTAAAAACCAGCCGCGTCTAAGAAAAACGGGGGCGGAGCTAATTGGTGGCGGGGGCAGAGCTAAACACGGCCTGCACCCTCTGCTATCACTGCTACACATTGAGGGGAAGCAGGATGGAGTCCCTGCTTCCCCAACTTACAGACTCCTTGGACTTCAGTTAATCCACTCCTCCTCCAGTCCATATGGTCAGTAAGTACGAGAGAGTGTATGTGTGTGTTTGCCTGCCTCACTGGCGGATCCAGGGTGGTGGTGGGGGGGAAATTGGGCAATTGCCCCCCCCCCCCAAGGTTCATCCCTGCCGGATAATGCAGGGCTGGCACTGTCCAAGCGCCTGCAGATCCTCCGGGTCCTTCTCCCTGAACACAGAGCGTTACCACAGCAATGCTCCGGATCTCGCGAGAGTGAACTCTAGCCCTGGAGCTACTGGAACCACCAGGGATTCCCCACGGACCACCAGGGATCGAGAAATATCCCCTCTCCAACCTCAGTAGGTACTTAATATATTTATTTTTATAAAATTAAAAAAATATATATTATAAAAAAGGCCCCCCTACCCTCCTCACTACACATTCACAAACTGCCCCCCCTACACACATTGCCCCCAATATACACAATTACACACTGCCCAACACACACATTACCCCCCGCACACATACACTGCCCCCGTACACATACACTGCCCCCACACACACATACATTGCCCCATACACATACACTGCCAACCCATACATACACAGCCTCATATACACATACACAGCCCCCCATACATACACTGCCCCACACACACATACACTGCCCCCCCACACACCATGCACATTCATGCACACCATGCACATTCACGTACTGCCCCCCATACACACATTGCCCCCCACACACACACACTGCCCCTCCACACACATACACTGCCCACCACACACCATACACATTCACGTACTGCCCCCATTCACACATTGCCACACACACACATACACACATACACTGAACCTTTCACACACACTGCACCCCTCACACGTTGCACCACTCACACACACCACTGCTCCTATGCCCTACTACAGCCCCATATCCCAGCAGACCCCAGGTAAGTCGCCAAACTGTTCTTAAACAATTTGACTACTTACTCTGGGAGAGGGTCCCGGCACACATGGCAGCATAACCACTGCACAGAGCTGTAGTGGTTATTGTGCATGAATTATTTCTTTAAATAACCTACAAGTGCCCCTCCCGAGATCAGGCTCTGGATCCGCCACTGGCATGCCTGCCTAAAGTATAATGTCAGTGGAATTCTGTTCCTCCTATTAATATGGTTCTGTTATTAAGTGTTACATTTAAATAGAGAGTTTTGATTTGAAGGTTGATTTGAAATGGGGCACGCCAAAAGTGTGTTTTAAAATAATTTAGCGCTGTTGAGTATTTAGAATCATATAATATATGTGTGTATGTAAGTAAAGTTAATGTTTAACCCCTTAAGGACGGGTGACGGACCTTGTCCGTCATCCAGGGGAGACCCTTAACGACGGGTGACGGACCTTGTCCGTCACACAGTAAAATTAACCCCAGATCGCCGCGATCACGGGGTTAATGGTGCTCCGGTCTGCCTCTAATACAGATAGTACTGCATGTACTCACCTTCCGCCTCCCTGCACTTCCGGGTTCTGTGTGAAGTGCAGGGAGACGGATCAGACCTGATGTTCTCCCTGTAAAAAAAATAAATAAAGTTTAATTAAAATCCCCCCCCCCTTTTTTACCCATTTTAATTAAAAATTAACCCTTTCCCTGCCGATTGATCACTGACTACAATGATCAATTGGCAGGGATCACATTTTACTGTCATCTGATTTTTATTTATTTTTTTAACCACTGAAGGTTAATTTTTCTTTTAACCCTCATGGGTTACATTTATTTTATTAATTAATTTAAATATTTTAAAATGATATATTTTGCTAGCTGGGGTTGGTGAGAGTTATGGGAAATTGGGGAATTTACCGTTAGTGCTGCTTACTGCTAGTTAGGGGTTAACGGTAAAAAAAAGCTTATAACAATGTTAAATCTGTTAAAAAAAAAAAAAAGTTTTTAAAAGAAAGGTTTAGGAAAGTTTAAAAAAAATTAATAAGCAAAAAAAAGGTTAAAAACTAGTTTTAAAAAGTTAAAAAGTTTTTTAAAGTAAAAAAAATACATTTAAAAATGCTCATTACCACTACACCTGGAACTAACTAGAGGAAAAATGATCCCACGCTAAGGTTCAAAATATGCTTTTTTTAATTACCCCAGGGTGTATTCTTTAATAGTATGTGTTTGTGGGAAGTTTTAATAACCAACCATCTAAACTACTCCAAAATGGAACATGAACACAGCGTAAAACTTAAAAGTTAGAAAAAAACTGAATGGCTGTGTCTCAAATGTGCCCCTTCAAAATCCACCTGGCAAAGGTACGTATGGGGGTATTGCTGTACTCAGCCGACATAGCTGAGCAACATATGTAGTATTATACAGTCATAGCACACCTAAGGTTTGCAAAATATACTGTGCAAACTAACTTTGTGTGTCAAAAAGGCTTATTACCACTACACTTGGTACAAGCTAGCAGAAAAATGATCCCACGCTAAGATTCAAAATATGCCTTTTGAAATACCCTGGGATGTCTTCTTTAAGAAATGATATGGTTTTATGGGGTATTTGGATTATATAGCCTGGTAAAATACTCTAAAATGGGACATGGGCACAGAGTAAAGTTTGAAAAAAACAAATGTCTGTGTCCCAAATATGCCCCCCCGATGCCCACATATACCTGGCAAAGGTACATACGGGGGTATTGCTGTACTCAGCCGACATAGCTGAGCAACATAAGAAGTATTATACAGTCGTAGCACACATAAGGTTTGCAAAATATACTGTTCAAACTCACTTTGTGTGTCAAAAAGGTAGAAGCTAGCAGAAAAATGATCCCACGCTAAGGTTCAAAATATGCCTTTTGAAATACCCTGGGATGTGTTCTTTAAGAAATGGTATGCCTTTATGGTGTAGTTGTAATATGTAGCCTGCTCAAGTGCTCCAAAGTGGAACACGGACGCATCAAAACCCTCCATGAAAATTCACACTTAAAAGCCTGAACTTGTCACGTCTCTTTTACAGCACTGTAACTTCACAAAATAGTGTCTAGGTCATACATTTGGCATATTGTTTTACTCAGAAGACTTAGCTGAGCATAATTTGGGGGTGGCACATATGAAATATACAAAATGCCCAGCAAAAATGTAATCCGTATGTAAAAAATGCCCAAAATAATTTTTTACCTCATACTTTGGCATATATTGGTGAAAAAATCGGGGCATGGTAAGGCACAATATGCACCATATGAGATACCTTGGAGTGTCTACTTTTACAAATGGTAGGCCTTTGTGGGTTTTTTTGAACAGTCAAACTGCTATAATCAGGGCCAGTGCAAGGATTTTTGCCATATGAACTAGTGACAGTGCTGCACACAGTGTGTGTTTACATTAAAAAGTCTGCAGGGACAAACTATAGACACCAGAACAACTTTATTAAGCTGCAGTGGTTCTGGGGATTATAGTGTCCATTTAGTGTGAGGTAAATTAGAGATTAGTGCCACTAATAATATACTAGATTGCCTACTTACAATCAGATGAGGATGGTGATGGGCTCTGGCTGCAGTCTGGCTCCACTGGTCTGGTGTAGAACAGGATCTCTGGAGGCTGTTTGTAACTGTGGTCACAAAATTCAATGTTCTGGGAGAACGGGAAGCAGCTCAATTTTTTGGGGCCTCTTACATAGCTCAAGGTCTGGGCCCCAGGGCCTGACGGTGAGTATGCCCATAAAGCCCACCCATAAGTCCACCTACATGTTCCACCCATGAGTCCGCTCACAGGGAGTAGAGTGTGTAGGGGATGTGTTATGTGTTACTGTAGAGGATCTAATGTGTGTGCTTATGGAATGTAGTGTATAGGGATACCAGTTTGTGTAGGTGATGCAGTGTGTTTGTGTGTAGTGGAAGCAGTGTGTTT